CTTTGCAGATTGAAGAGGGGGTGAGGCTCAGGACACCTATGGCGCCCCCATTGGCCCCCTACTCCCTGAGTACCCTGAGTAGTTTCTGAGGCACATTTGAAGTATCCTGGGTTTACAGAAATTTGCACTGGAAAGCCAAGTTCCTTAATTGATGAGAAAATCAAGGCCTAATGGAGACAAATATTGTTCCCAAGAGCCACAGCTCCACTCTTTCAGCCCAGGATGCTTTCTGCAGGGCTGGGCTGCTTAGCTTCTGGGCCCTGGCTGGTCTCAGTGACAGGCTGCCCTGGGCAGGGTGCAGTGCGATAAGAAGGGCTTAGGACAGATGACTTAAGCTTGAGCCTTTGCTTGGCAAATCAGTAGCTGGGAGACCTTGAATAACTTATACCTTCTCTGACCTGCACGTTCTCAACTACATACTGCAGCTGGGATTCGTTGACATGGTGTACACAAAGCAGCTAGAGTCTTGTGGCCACCTAGCACCTACTAGGGGCTCTATGGGTTGCAAATATTTTTTATAGATTTTTGTGAGCTAATGAAGTGAGGAACCTGTGGTCAGATAGACTAAGAATGATTAAGAAGGCAGTTGAGACAAAGACACTGAGCGTTGGGAGAGAGGAATTGCAGTTCATTTGCTTCAGGTTGCATTCTGGGCCCCTGAACTCTTTCTACTTTCTGTCCAGAGAGGAGGTCATAGCCCTGGTTGTCCTTTCTGGATTTTGGGGCACACTTGAGGGGTAGGGTCAAAGGGAGATAGATCCCAGGTTGGAGTTCAGTGTTGCCTAAGTCATTGGTGATATCTCTCATCTCCGGGGTGAGAGGCATCTGGAGTTAGGGGAGGGGAGGAAGTGGATGGCTGGGCTTGTGGTTCCCTTGTGTGATTTTTATGATAGTTGATATTGCAGCTACTGTAATGTTCTATTACCACATACCTTGCTTCTTTGATAAAGATGCCGAAGTTCTCTTCTCGGCTGAGCTCAGTCATGTGGGCTGAAGATAAGGGCATTGTGTGCTTTCCTTGCCCTTGGGTTCTGATGCCTCTTGATCTGCAAGTGAGCACTTGTGTGTCAGAGGAAAGGAGCCCTTGCCGTGGGATTGGTTGAGCCTGCTCTGTAGGGAAGCCTGTTGGTAGCTCCAGCTTCATGTGACTCCAGATAACATGGGATGATGACCTCTTCCTTGGATTTTCTGATCTGGACTAAACGTTGTTGTTGTTATTTTGTGTTTTTGGAAGTGGCATGCTACAATAGGAAAAATTCTGCAAGGGAAGATGAAAATCCAGAAACCTGGGTTCTGTTCCTTTCTGTGTCAGTAATTCATTATTTTGTTTTGGGCTTGGTTTCCCCTTGTCTCTCTCTTTTTTTTTTGAGACAGAGTTTTGCTCTTGTTGCCCAGGCTGGAGCGCAATGGCTCTATCTCGGTTCACTGCAGCCTCCGCCTCCTGGGGTCACTCCGCCTCCTGCCTTAGCCTCCAGAGTAGCTGGGGTTGCAGGCATGTGCCATAATGCGTGACTAATTTCTAGTAGAGATAGAGTTTCTCCATGTTGATCAGGCTGGTCTTGATCACCTCAGGTGATCCGCCTGCCTCAGCCTCCCGAAGTGCTGGGATTACAGATGTGAGCCACCACGCCCGGCTGGTTTCCCCTTCTCTAAGTGAGGGAATTTGATGGTAAATTCTTAAAGATTGCATTCAGCTCTAAAAGTCCTATATTTAAAGATACTCATGTCCAGGTCAATGCTGTAGAGAAGTCGACTTAGCTAGATCTTATATATGGTTGCTTTATTGAGTTCTTTTTTTTTTTTTTTTTTTTTGAGACAGAATCTCACTCTGTCACCCAGGCTGGAGTGCAGTGGTGTGATCTCTGCTCACTGAAACCTCCACCTCCTGGGTTCAAGTGATTCTTCTGCCTCAGCCTCCTGAGTACCATGCCCGGCTAATTTTTGCATTTTTAATAGAGATGTGTTTCACCATACTGGCCAGGCTGATCTCAAACTTTTGACCTTGTGATCCACCCACCACAGCCTCCCAAAGTGCCGGGATTACAGGCGTGAGCCACTGTGCCTGCCCTACTTTATTGAGTTCTTACTGTGTGTTCTACATTGCATAGGGAACTTTATTATCTTATTGAATTCTCACAACAGCCCTGGCAGATCACATATATTTTTTATAGAAGAAGGAGGCAGGGAAGAGGGGTGGATTTTGCAGGAGTTCTTTCTATTTCAGTAAAACCAAAGAGTAAGTTTTGGTAGTGCTGGTAGGCATGCAGTCACATTGCATGTGACAGGCAGATTCAGTCAGTTGATACCAACTTCAACATTCTATGTGCCCAGCCCTGTGTCAGGTGCTTAGGGGCTACTAGTAAGACTTATGAGATACTATCCCTGACCTCAAGTGGGTTAAAATTGAGCTTGAAGTTGAGATTGCAACTCATAAAACTATGTGATAAACATGAAGTGGGGCAAGTTTTGTGGAAGAAATGGGACCTGAGCTGGGCCTGGAGAGTTGTATTTGGGGAGCAGAGAAGTATATGAATATTGGTGCTGGTTGGGAATAAGGGGCATAGTGCTAATATGACTATTGGTGGTGGTTGGGAATGAGGGAACATAGTATTAATAGAAAGCCCAGGAGCAGGAATCAATGGGATGTGTGCAGAAGACAGTGAGGAGATCAAGTTGGTGGAGCAGAAGGTGCCTGGTGGAGAGTAGTGGGAATATAGCTAAACACATAAATACAGTCAGCTTCCAAAGGGTTGTGACAGACAGACTGAGGACTTTTATGAAGTAAGTAATAGGGAACCATCATGTTTTGGGAAACAGGGACATAATGGGATTGGACCAGAAAGATAATGGAGGTGGGGATGGGCAGGAGGCTTTTGCGGTGGTATAGGGTCTCCTGCTCAAGCAAGGTCCAAAAACACTCCATTGTTCCTATTTTACAGATGAGGAAGTTGAGACTCAGAGGTGCGTTACATGTGTGTAACTTTAAGTGGAGGTAGAAGTGTGTAGAAGTGTAGTTTTGTTATGTGGCTATATTGCCTAATAGTGAAGTCTGGGCTTTTGTTGTATCCATCATCCAAATAGTATTGTATCCATTAAGTAATTTCTTATCATCTACTCCCTGGCCGTGTGTGTGTGTGTGTGTGTGTGTGTATGTGTGTGTGTGTGTATCACATTTGTTTATCCAATCATCCATTGATAGAAACTTAGGTTGGTTCCATATTTTTGAGGCTCAGAGGGGTTAAACCATCTGTTTAGCGTTCAGTGAGTAGCATGTGATGGACCGTGGCATAGAGCCCTGGCCATCCTGTTGCCATGGAGCTGATCTTATTGACTTAGGCTTTAGTTTGAGAACTTCCTGTGGAGGAGGAGGAGGAGGAGGATGAGGAGGATGTAGACAGTGATGATTCACACATCTTTTCAGCAGGGTAATGGGGTTAGGTGCTGATGTATGCCTGGTATTGTGCTTTCCGTATGTGATCTCCTCCAGTCCTCATGAAAGTCATAATGTCTGGCAGTGGGGCGGGTAGGGGGTGTTACTACTTACAAGTTAGAAACTCAGAGAGGCTTGGGACTTGACTGAGGCATCCCAGCCAGTAATTGGTAACAGCAGGTTTTGGACCTAGGCTTCTCTTTGCCCAGTTCACAGATTCTCACTGAAGGTGACCAGGCTGCCTGGCTAGATCTACTCAAAGCCAAGAGGTAGCCATTGTGGTTGTGGGGAATCCCTGTAACGATACTAGGGGTCTCGAGAATTTACATCATGATGGAGTGATAGGTGTCTGCCTCCCATGTTCCAGGTCACAGTTGTTCCCATCTTCTGGAAACTTCCTTTAATCTATTCCATGATGGTAGCCTCTTCCCATTTCCTTACACATGTGTTTGAAGACTCAATTGATATCTTGTAGGGTATACATGTGTGTGTTTGTGGGCATATATGTATGTGTTTGGGTATGTGGGAGGGTATGTGGGTGTATGTGTGGAGGGGGTGTGTTGGAGTGTGGGTGTATGTGTGTAGTGGGGTGTGGGTTGTGGGGGCATATGAGTGTGTGTGTCAGCTTGTAGATGTGTGTGGGAGGGTTATGAGTGTGTGTGAAGAACATTGGAGAGGAATGTAAAAGCAGCTCAGTAAACAGTGAACAACCCTTATGCTGGGTGGGAATGGGATCACTTCCTTTAGATGTCCATTTTGTGATTTCTGCAGAGGAAGTTGAATGACATTGAGAAAGCTTGGGTCCTTAGAGGTGGCTGGGGCCTGGGGGAGAACTTCCTTTTTCTTATAAACAGGAGCTTCTGACAGGGAGTGACATGGCACTGTTTGCTTTGTAATAGGTGGTTTCTGAAAACAGGAAAATCTTTACCCTTACTGTGAGGATTGAAAGCTTGTGCTTTGGAGGAATCGTGTCTGGAACCTGTTTGAACAGTGTGAAGAAGGGTTTAGCAGCCCTGGGGTTCAGATCCAAAGGATGAGTTCAGTTCTACCTATTGCCATATTTTAGCTGTGTGGTTTTTGTCAAGTTACCTAACCTCCCTAAGTTGTGGGTTCCTCAACTGTAGTGGGTTACAGTAACTACCACCACCACCAGCAACAAAACCTAGCATGTGTTGAACTTACAGTGTACTAGGCACCATGCAAGAGTGTCTTATGTTCATTATCTCTTTTATTCCTGACACAACCCTATGAAGCAGGTAGTGCTGTTATCAGCATTTAACAGAGAAGGAAACCTAGGCACAGCAAGATAGGTAACTTGCTAGTTCCTCCCTCTCTCACCTCTCACCCACTGCAAAAAAAAAAAAAGAAAGAAAAAGTAATTGGTAGAACTAGGATTTAATTTCAGATGTTGAGATACCAGAGTTGTTTGATATATCGTAGAGCTGTTATGAGTTATAAAGGAAATTATGTATTAAATGCTTAATATAGCTCCTGGTACTTCATGAGCTTTCAATAATGTTAGCCATTTATTGTGTTTTAGTTTCACCCTGTTCATTTTTGTCTTTTGCAGAAGCAGCTGACGCAGGATGATGATACTGATGAGGTCGAGATTGCTATCGACAACACGGCTTTTATGGATGAGTTCTTTTCTGAGGTAGGCAGGTTTCCTGTATTTTTTTTCTAAATGTACATAAGGAAACACTTCTTCTTTAGTAAGAATTAAAAAACCTTAGATTTTTCAGGGTCGCAGAGGAAGGTCATAGTCTTTTGCTAGGGTGGTTGGCTGGACGAAGAAATTAAAATGGCATTCTCTTTTCAATATTTAGTTGAAAGGGTCTGGATTTTTAAAAATCTTGTTAAGAAAGTCAATAGAGGGTCAATTACATGTAATTGGAGATGATTTTAAAATCTTACGCCATATGACAACATTTTAATAATATCCTTTCTTGCTTAAAGTACCTAACAAATACAGAATCAGCTGTAGGATCACAACTGTGAGTATAAAACATTGTATCTTTAGGCTTGTGATTTGGATACATCAAATGTGTCACATAACAAATACAGAATCAACCATAGGGTCACAACTGTGAGTATAAAACATTGTATCTTTAGGCTTGTGAGTCAGATACATCAAATGTGTCACATAACAAATACAGAATCAACCATAGGAGTACAACCATGAGTATAAAACATTGTATCTTTAGGCTTGTGATTCAGATACATCAAATGTGTAGCTTTGAAAATTTTTGGGCCTGGCTCTGTGGATCATGCCTGTAATCCCAGCACTTTGGGAGGCTGAGGCAGGTGGATCACTTGAGGTTAGGAGTTTGAGACCAACCTGGCCAACATAGCGAAACCCCGCCTTTACTAAAAATACAAAAATTAGCCAGGCGTGCCTGTAATCCCAGCTACTCTAGAGCCTGAGGCAAGAGAATCACTTGAACCCAGGAGGCAGAGGTTGCAGTGAGCCAAGATCATGCAACTGCACTCCAGTCTGGGCAACAGAGTGAGACTCCGTCTCAAAAAAAAAAAAAATTTTTTTTTATAGTTCCTTTGACGTAATTCTAGTGGTAACTGAGAAACCCAAACTTCCAGTTTATTTTTGTAAAAGTTCAACAGGGGCAAAAAGGGTTCATGTCTATTGATCCATGTACTCTGATCTTAAAGGTCCTCATTGAGATGGTTCTATGATTAGGCGATTCACCTCTACAAGGTGAAAAGCTTGTAGAGGCGGTAGTATATCATGGATGAAAATACTGGCGTTGGAGCTGGGTAAACTTGGGCCCAAATCTCAGCCCTGCTTCTGGGAAGCTGTTGATTTCATGAACATTCCTTAATCTGTATCTGGGTTTCCTTACCTGTAAATTAGGATTGATAATGTAATTTCCTGTAAGTAGGATCACCTGAGCCCAGGAGTTTGAGGCTGCAGTGAGGTATGATCATGTCACTGCACTCTAGCCTGGGCAACGGAGTAAGACCCTGTCCCCTAAAAAAAAAAAAAATCACTGGTGATCCAGTTTTTAGGTAAGAAAAGAAAAAAAACCCTAAACAACAAAAATCTCCATGGAGTTTTGTAAGGATTAAGAAGGATAATGTTTGAAACACAGCATAGCATCTGGCATACATGTGCTTAATGGATGATACTTCACTATTGTGGAAGTCTCTGCCACCATACTATGGTTTCTTAGGTTTTTAATTTCCCTAGAAAGAAAACAAGAGGTATTGTGCTCTTTTTGCAGAAAGAATATGATGCTTCCCATTCTCTAGACTGTGAATGTGGAAAAGTAACCCTCCAGTTCTTTTCTGAATGGAATGGAGTAGGGCTTGATGATTTGTGCCCATTTATCTGTTAAAGTAATAAACAGAAATTAAGAGCAAACTTGAGTGTGTGCTGGCCTCATTAGGAAGTTGGCTATAAACTCCCCACAGATCCCCACCCTCCTCATGGGTGGGTCCATCAGAGTCATAGTGAGATCAAACAACACTTAGGCTTTATGAGTCCAGTGTTATGCCAGTTGTGGATCATGGAAGGACAATATCCTTTCACTCCCTGGTACGGACTTAAGGAGATGTCTGAAGTCTTTCTAGCCTGTCTCAGTCTGCCTTGGAGAACCAGATATGTTAAAGAACGTCCCTAAGATAAAGAATCTTCTCCAACAACTGTGTTCTCCTTTTTCTTCTGAGCCAGTCAGAGCATTCTCTAAGAGGACCCTCTTTGTTAGGTGGGAAGATGGTGGGCTTTGGCCCCTAAAACATGGTTTGAGTCTACTTTTCAAGCATTTCATAGCAGTGTGACCTTGGTCAGATTGCTTAACCTCTCTGAGCTTTAATATCCTGCTCTGGAAGCTGGGAGTGTTGGTACTTACCTTTCAAGGATGCCATGAAGATCACATGAGATCACACGTCTGGGAAGCATCATCAGACGGAAAAGCACTGGATGGGTGATAGCTACTTCTGTAGAGGCCTTTGAAGATTTAACAAGACCTCCAGGGCTGCTTCATTGCTTATTGCTTTCTCTTTGTTATATGCATGTCTGTCATTTAGGGAAAAACCCCGTGAAACCTATATCATATTTAGGGTGGAGAAGAGAGACAGCGTGGGGAGGTGGAAAGAGCAAGGTTTTTGAATTAAATTTCATACCTGCCACTAACTGTGTGATCTTGGTCATATTCCTTAACCGTTCCAAGTATCAGTGGGCTTATCTGTTTATCTAATTTGCAGTTGTCTATATTTTCCTTGGTCTGTTTGCTCACTTGGCAGAGAGTAAAGTTTCAGAGGAAACAGACCTGCCTTTGGAGGCAGAAACATTAGGGGTTTATTGTTCTGTATTCATTTATTCATCGAAATATTTGAGTGCTTTGTTATGCTTACTGTCTTCAAGATAGCACGTTGGGTACTGGGGATACAATGTTTTGTGTGACAGGATTCTTTCCCTCTGGTGTCTCCTTATCTGGTAAGGGAGATAGAAATTTTTAAAGCATTGTTATATGATAGTAAAAGTGTCAATAAGGGATCATGGGAGCACAGAAGAGGAAGCGTTACATTCTGCCTGAAGAGAGGAATGCAAGGGAAGGTTTCCCTGGTTCTTAAATAGACTTGTCATCAGAATCACCTGGGTAGTTTTTTTTTTTTTTTTTGCACATACACATACCTGATTCTTAGGGACTGGAGTGGCTCAGACGTTTGGATTTGTAGGAAGTTCTTCAAGATAATTCCGTCATCTACTGCAGCTGTGCACCACTGCAAAGTGATGGGGAACCTTTGAGGGTTTAAACAAGAAAGTGATGGGCTCAGAGTGTGTTTTAGAAAATTCATTCTGATGGCAGTTAGTGGAGGGTGCAAAAGATCCGAAGTGGAAAGACTAGCTAGTCGGCTGATGGAGCCCAGGGGAAAAAGGATGAGAGCTTTGACCTGAATCTGTGATCCAGAGCAGCAGTGTAGCCTATCATTTAGGGATGCTTTTGACTAACTGTGGCTTAAGCAATAGAGATATGTAATTATTTTGCATATGAAGAAGTTTGGGGTTAGCTTTGGTGCTGTTTAAAGGTCAAGTTGGGGTTCTAGGTCAGCATTGCTGTGATCCTCTTGGCTTTTCTCTTAGGATTGTGAGAGAGAGTCTGTTCTGATGATCTATTGTTATATCACAACATAGCCCTGACATTTAGTGGTATAAAACAACTGTTTTGTTATGCTGACAGATTCTGTGGATTAGGAATTCCAACAGGGCAACGTGGGTCTGGATTATCTCTGCTCCACAATTTCTGGGGCCTTTACTGGGAAGACTTGAACAACTGCAGGCTAGGATCTTGTAGAGGCTTTTAAAATTCTACAATCTGGTGCCTTTATTGGGGTGGCTCAAGGGAAAAGCTTAGCAGAGACTGTTCATTGGAGTGCCTATACTTGGCTTCTTTCTGTGGCTTGGGCTTCTCCTAGCTGGCCCACTTAGGGCTATTGAGCTTGTTACATTGAAGCTCAGGGATGCAAGGCAAGTGTTCCAGCATCAGAAGTTATGTAGCACATCACTTCTGCTTGGCTCTATTACTGAAGCAGTCACAAGCCTGCCAGATCCAAGAGAGCAGTACATAGGTCCCATCTGCCTGTGTTTTGAAACCACCAGAGACACAGCTCCGTTTGGCATCACCCTGTGACAACACTGCAAGCATTAAGAAAAGGTGTGGCTAGAAAAGTTCAAAGATCCTTTCATCAGGGAGGAAAACTGCCCAGCTCCTCCAGCCTGACTTCCCCTGTGGCCTCCTGGATAGCACTGGGTCACATGGTGTGGGCACCCTTAGCTGGAAGGGACACCAGGAAAGTGAGTACTCAGCAAAGGGACAGGATTGCCAGGATCGCCATCGAACACATCATGATTCATCCTCTGGGGCTAGCGATGCCACTACCCAAACAAAGTTAGACTTCTGGTAAAAAGAAAGAAGGGGAAGGGGCTAGGGAATGGCTATTTGTTGGGTCAGTCAGAGTGCTTTGTCACGGATGGCAATGTCAGATGCAAAAAGCCTCCTGTGATCAAATATGCTTGAGAAATGCTTTCTAATCCTTTCTTCTCTTGGAAACTTAAAATGCATGTTAACTTACTGAAAGCTCTAAGGAGTCCTGTAAGAAACCAGCTTAACTTGGCTTAGCATTTAATTTTTCACAGTACGTTTTCTAACACGGAACTTCTATTAACAAGGATGAAACTTTTCTTTCTTCTTCTTTTTTTTTTTTGAGATGGAGTTTTGCTCTTGTTGCCGAGGCTGGAGTGCAATGGTGCGATCTCAGTTCACTACAACCTCTACCTCCTGGGTTCAAGCGATTCTCCTGCCTCAGCCTTCCAAATAGCTGGGATTACAGGTGCCCACCACAATGCCCAGCTAATTTTTGTATTTTCAGTAGAGGTGGGGTTTCACCATATTGGTCAGGCTGTTCTTGAACTCCTGACCTCAGGTGATCCATCCACCTTGGTCTCCCAAAGTGCTGGGATTACAAGCGTGAGCCACCATGCCTGGCTGAAAGTTTGCTTTTTTTGAATGCTGACTTAGTTTAGGCTGTTATGAGAAAGTACCATAGACTGAATGGTTTATAAACAATAAGAATGTATTTCCTACAGTTCTGGAGGCTGAAAGTCTGAGACTAGAGTTCCACCATGATCAGGTTCTG